CGCACTCGAGTCGTGTATATGTTATCAGATGTTTGTGGACAGAAACCGCGGTATCTTGTTATAAAATAAGATGTTCTCTGCCTGTGGTCTTTCGTTAAAATCTGGTAACTTAGGCAGTTCAATTCAACAATTTCCAGGTAGGCCTATCTTCTTGACTTCCTTGGGGATTTACATTGTGGACAAAAAGTCAGGGGGACTACCCTCCTTAAAATAGTTGGGGTACGTGTCCCCTGTCACCCCCCCCCCACACATGCTATTCACCAGAGGACAAAGCTTTATACAGTAATTCGACATCGAATCCTGAACTGCGCGTGATTTCAAACATCTTTTTATAGGAAGAAAGTAGAATAGTAGGCCTATTACAAATCAATCAATCGTCAGCCATTATTAGGCCCTATACTTTTTAAAATGTCAACAAATATTTTACACTGTTATTTGCCAATAATTTTTTTTATTGTATTAGCTATAACAATGTAATTCGTGTTTTTAGGTAAGAAACATATTAAATAGGCCTATTCCTATGTAGGGCCTATTGATGAAAGATCACATACGTTTTACCGATTCCCGAGTCTCAGTGGGTTGTCACGCACTGGGCGAGCCTCACCATTTGTCAATTAATCGTACCTATCATTGTATTTAAAATTTAAATTGTATTACTGTATTGTCATAGAACTTAAGCATCTACCCTGTAATTAGATATTACAGAGGCTACTACAGTATCTAACAATTTCAGTTTTACTTAGGCGTTTTCCTTCTGGGACGTGACGTACGAACTTGCGTACGTACGTACGTGTTGCGTAACAGGGTATACGCAGACTGTTGAAGGTATGTTAACCAATCAAATGCATCAGCGGCAAATCAAATTAAAGGCTTTGATAACCAAGACACACCGTATGCTGGGCGTAACAGCCCAGTTAAATAGTTCAGTTTTCTTTGCTATAAAAATCACCTTTTCCGTGGGTGTATTTTGGTAAACTTTTTGTATGTTGTAGAGATAAAATTTAACTTTATTCATAAAAAAAAACAAAAACGTTTTGTTGCATTTATGTCCAACTTTGGTGCTTCATATCCGTATTTCTGGTGGACTATTTGTTAATAAAATATGCTGTGTATTGTATAAGTAGAGTACTGTGAAATCATTACACAATACATGGTGAAGTAGCCTTAAGTGCAAGTGGTCCCTACTTGTTGTCCGACCGTAAAAAACACTTGTTCCGGGCGTCGGGCGGTTGGGTTCGCTCTGCTCATGCTATTAT